AATGAAGGAAAGTAAAATGTGTCCTCTTAGACGATTAAAAGAGAGCGGTTTTGTTCTGGAGGCGTTAAAATTAGCAATCCATTCCTTGCACCATTTAACAACAGATTGTAGGTCATCTTTTTGGATCTGTTGCCAAATTGACCTTATCGAACCGATCAAACTTACTATGAAGACTGAAGTAAATAGTTGAGTCATCAGTATAGATACCAACCTGAGAACTGAAGACATTAGGAAAGGTCGTTGATTAAAAATTAAGAACGACCTAGGTCCAAGGATCGAGTCTTGGGGTGGGAACACATTTGCTTGTTTATTGTTATGAGATTTTATGAAAAGTGAAAATGTAGAAACGAACTGAACGAAAAACGAAATAAAATCTTTATTTATTTGTTATTTTTTAAAACTTTGATAGTATTTTTACAAATTGATCTGGAAGGCAAGCTTACTAAACATAATTCTAAGTCAGGCAATGTGAGAGATGGCGCTATGTATGGATGGATAGACATGTAAATTACACAGGACAGCGAACAGACAAAAATACACGACTGGAAATGAAGCAAAGGAAACAGAGTGATAATGAGAAATGTTTATCTTAAGGCAATTGTATCAAAAGCAAAGTCTCGAGGCTTAAATGGATGAAAATATTTTGAATAGCTTTTAGCATTAATTTGAAAGTCTTAACATTTTTGCAAAAATCTTCAATTAAAAAGACCAGGTTAAAGGAAACATTGTCTATTAGAAAATTTCTAAACGGAAAAAAATACAAGTAATTCCAATGAAAAGCCAAGAAATTCAGTTGAAACTAAAAATGTGTTTCAGATATTTTAAAACAATATCTGAAGATTAAGTAAATAAATATTGAAATACTAGTAAAATTGACTAGACCATTCCAAGAATTACCTACCAATATGTTAGCTGCAAAAAAGACTGACAACTTAATTTTCGGGATGGTATGGTGAAACCTGTCTATTCGGCTTCTACAAGCTTCAATGTTAAGCCATGCACTTTCTGAGACGATGATGGTATTGCTAAAAACATTGAATTAGTATAGATAGATAGATAGATAGATAGATAGATTATAGTAAAAAATAGAAAAAAAAGGCACCCCTACCCTAACTAGACTTAACCTCTTTTCGAATGTAACTCATAACTGATACGATAATAGTTAATAAAAAAGAACACGCTACCGCCCCTGTCTAAATGATTGGATTTCCCTCTATCCTTGGAAACAGAAATTATGAATGTATGTGCTTTTAAAGTTCAGTAAACCTCAAAGTGTTATTGCAAAATTCGATTGAAGATGTAACAGAACTAATGCTTTTAATTTATTTATATAACTGAATTTGAAGTTTTTATTTTCTGTTATTGAAACATGGTAATTCCTGTGTAGCACTGAAACCGTATTTTTAAATCAGTTCATATATATATATATATATATATATATATATATATATATATATATATATATATACTATTTATGCTTTACTTAGCCGTTTGAGTACTATAGAGAAAAACAGTGCTGCTGCTGTTATTAACGCATTCTCTTCCATTACGAATTGAGCCCACTTGGCTACTGGCATTTGTATACATCTCGTACATAATTCGTTAAAATATTCCCTTTCTCGTGCGCCGATAGCTTAGGGATAGAATCTCGGACTGATGTCAAATCGGTCGAGATTTGATCCCCTCTTGAAGCAGTCAGACATCTAGCCACACTGATGAGCTGTGATACAAAGAAACATGCGGATGACTATGTATATATATATATATATATATATATATATATATATATATATACCGGGCGTGACAGAAAAAATTGTCCAAATCATGTATCAGCATAATTATCCAGGTAAATATATAGACAAATCACAATCATTGAAAACGAATGTAGAAACATTCAGATGTACTCGAAAGAACTCAACGTTAAAAATAGAATCCCTTTGTGTATGTTCTAGTAAATGTTAAAAAATAATGATTTTATCACTTCATATATATATATATATATATATATATATATATATATATATATTATATAGAATTGAAATTCAAAATTACCCTATTCGAATAGCTATTTCGGCCCACGAAAAACTCACTTGTTGGCCTTTTCAACACAGAGAAGTGAAGAAACACACTCACACACACACACACACACACACACGCACACACACACACACACACACATATATATATATATATAAATGAATGAATACTGAGTGTTGACTTCAGTATTCATTTATATATATATATATATATATATATATATATATATATATATTAACTCAGCGGTGACAGACTGTTTCATGCTAAAATCAGTCAGGCTTGATGTTCACATTTATATTTACATACCTTAACACTATATTCCTTCATATATACATATGTGTGTGTGTGTGTGTGTGTGTGTGTGTGTGTGTGTGTAAGTAAGTACTGGAGATAATTAACCCTTTGATCACTGACCAACGCTTTACTGGTGGTAGAGAAAAATGACGTAATGCCTAGCCACCGGTTGAACAGTGGGTAAACACTTGTAACTATTCTGATATCTACCGTGAAATATCACAGGCCAATAATTTGCGAATTTTGACGCAGGATCTCAGAAAATTGTCAGTGCTACCCTTTTTTATTTAAAGCCTACTAGAAAGATAATAAGGTAGTTTATTTTCATATGAAGTGAATAAGTACATACAATAAATAAGTATGGAATAAAGTAATTAATAAATAAATATGAAATAAATAAGTACATATAAAAAAGATTAAATCTAAAAGATATAAAATATAAATAAATCTAAAAGATATAAAATATATAGATATAAAAATATATATATATATATATATATATATATATATATTTATATAAAAGTTTGAAATAAATTAGTGCATATAAAAAAAGAGCAAATATAAAAGAAAAATACAGAATTTCTTTTCTGGTGTGTTCTGACAAGAGCTTTCTTTTCTAAAGGAAGGATTGCTGCCTAAATATACAAATATCAAATTACACGACTCGGCAGCCAACAAGGAAAATGTCCAGAAAAGTAAGCTCTTGTCAGAACACAAGAAAAATTAAATAAAAAGCTCAACCGTAGTACCTTGTCTGTCGTTTTTAATGAAACATGCATATATATAAACATATATACATATACACACATATATATACACGAACACACACAAATATACATATATAATTTCATTTGCAAACAATACTGTTTCGCTTATCACAGCTCCTCAGTGTGACTAGACTTCCGAAACCCTCAAGCCAGGACTATATATATATATATATATATATATATATATATATATATATATATATATGTATGTATGTATGTGTGTGTGTGTGTGTGTGTGTGTGTGTGTGTGTGTGTGTATTTTTCGTTTTCCCTCTACCATTGTATACTTTCACGCTACTACTTCTTAATATATTTCTAGTCTAACGCCTTTAGGGTTGTTTTGAAGCTACCCGAACATGGAATAACTATTACTTCTATATAAACACTGCGTAGAATGCAAACACAAATATTTCCAAACAATGAACACCTTGAAAATGATTAATGAATCAGCCGTAAGCGTTTGTAACAGTCATCAGTCCGGATCGATTCAAGAAACTCTTATAAAAGAAAAAACTGTATGAAATTATCTTAAATGTCATCAAACAATGAACACTTTTTGAATCTTTTGATGGCTACTATAGATGTATTACCGACATCAGCTGGGAGAAACACCCAACAAAGTTTATCTAAGTTTCGCTGAGAGAGAGAAAGCTTCGGCTGGCTGGTCACTCCTGGAGAAGTGAGAGCTTGTGAGAAACATCCTCGTACAGAACCCATTGCACAGCAAAAAATCAGTTGGAAGACCTCATCACACCTACATTGACCAACTTGTAGATGACTCTGGATGTCATCTGGAAGACCTACCGACGGCGATGTCTGGCAGAGATGGTTGGAATGAATGAGTCAGGAGAATCAGAAAAGAATACTCGATCTGATGATGATATTTATTTGCGACTATCGGCCTGAATATTCGAGAAATTTTATCAAAGAAATATATGCGATATCCGGCATATTTTTCTTATAAGAATAATATATTTGAATCACATAATTTTCACAGTAGTATATGAAATTTTAATGCCACTGTCTTGCTTATGACCCAACAACATAGACATTGACAAAATACCAAGAAACATCACTTGACGGAACATACACAAAGATTTTACGAGCTGCATTGGACATCAGATGGAAGAACCCCCCCCACACACACACACAAAACGCCTGTATGGACATCTTCCTCTTATCTAAATTTCGCTGAGAGAGAGAAGGCTTCGGCAGACTTGTCACTACTGGAGAAGAAATCAGAATTTGTGAGTGATACCCTCCTATGGAACCCATTTGCGCGGCAAAAGATCATTTGGAAGACCTCATCACACCTACATTGACCAACTTGTAGATGACTCGGGATGTCATCTGGAGGACCTAACGACGGCGATGTCTGGCAGAGATGGATGGAAGGAACGAGTGAGGAGAAATCCGAGAAGAATTCTCGATCTGATGATGATGATGATGAAATGTCACTTGTTCGTTACATTCAATGAAAATGTATAAAAGATCATTTGATTGGTTTGTTTTTACGGCTTATCAACCTTTTACAGGTTACTTAAAACTAGGAAATAGTATTGGATTTTAAGAAATTTGTGAAGATAATAATGATTTACTGACATCAGTCTTACTAATTAACCCATAGCTGGGGAAGAAGACGAATATTCATACCTTTCCCAAGAGTATTAATCCGTAAGTGTATATAGTGAACCCGAGTGGATTTGAAACTAAGCTCCTCGATTTTCAATTCAGAGCCGTTATCCATTTCACCAATCCAAGCTTTCAGCACCTAACATTCTTAAGCGGTCACCAATTAAGGTACTGACGAGAATCAACATTGCTTAACTTCGGCGACCGTATAGGAACTTGTGTTTCAACAGGATATGGCCGTAAGCCCATTACACCACAAACACACCCAAGCTTACAGCATCTGGTATTCCCAAGCGGTCAACCGTCTAGGTAGTGACCAGTATCAACGTTGCTTAACTTCGGCGACCATACGGGAACTGGTGTTTCAACGTAATATAGCCGTAAGCCCATTGCAATCCATCACGTTCACGCTTATAGAATCTTATTCCCAAGCGGTCACCCATCCAGGTACTGCCCAGATCCGACGTTGCTTAACTTCGGCGATCGTACGGTGTTTCAGCGTGGTATGGCCATAAGGCCACGTATAAAAGAAGGAATGATGCCCATATATATAATAGTCAAATTAAGTTATTCGGCAGATTATCCGGAAGCGACCATTTATTTTGGTGCCAAAATTCCTGAAGTTAGTTATTCAACGAGTGATTTCAGAATCATTTTAGTTAATATCTCCTTGGGTCTTCACTTCAAATAACCGATGATTCTGAAGCAATGGGCACTTTATTCGTCATTTTAAATGAGGCTTCAAACCTCACCTTTCTTCCATCGTTTCGTAAACCCGCTGGGACAGGCTCTCGTATTCTTTCCTGAAGATATGGACAGTTCTGACAGGGGAAAGCCCAGGGCGGAAAGCAATAAGGACTTGTTCACTTCTACAAAGGACTTTGAAAATGCACTTCCTGAAAGGCACTACAATGTACAGCAGCTGAAATAAATGAAACATGGGCTAATGAAATCGCAGAATGCCTATTTTATACTCAGCACTGACAGATCAAGAGTGGCGAATGGAATTATCAGGCAATGATTTCCGATAATTCGCTGCTTGATGTGAAATCCATGTCATCCTTCGAAAAGAAAAAGTCACAATTTTCTTTTCATATATATATATATATATATATATATATATATATATATATATATATACAGGGTGTCCATAAAATTCGTGTGTACTTTAAAAAAAATTATAACTTTATTTGTATTTGTGATAGAAATAATCTGTAAAAAATGTTATAAAGTTTAATGTACATAGTTTTAAGTATAGCTAAAATAACTAATGTGATTTCAGGCTTTACTGTAAATCAGTTGGCAAATGTTTTCCAGGAACTTCAAAATCGTATTACCCTTTGTATTGCTAATGATGGAGGACAGCTGGAAACAAATAAATTTCAATAAAACCTTAAAAAATATAGATTTGCTTCTTTCTAATACTTTTTACATATTATTTCTATCGCAAATACAAATAAAGTTATAAATTTTTTAAAGTGCACATTTGAACTTTATAGACACCCAGAATATATATATATATATATATATATATATATATATATATATATATATATATATATATAAGTGTGTGTGTGTGTGTGTGTGTTTAAATAAAATTCCGATAAATGAACAAGACTGCATGTATTTTTCTTTGAGGCAATTCTTTTTTCTTTTAATCTCTTTCGTATGCAATAAAGAGTCTTGACTTTCTTTATAACTTTTTTCCCAAGACATCGTCTCTTTCGTTCGTCCATTTTCTTTCATTTAATGCAATTAATCTTTGTATGCAATGGAGAAATCCTGACATCTTCATCGGTTAATGTTTGAGTGGACTAACCCGTAATTGTTCTGAATATTGAAATCGCCACTCTTGCTAAGATCCGTTAGCCCACGTACGCAGCGTAGACTCTTCCTCATTCAATTTAGATTCTACCTAAAATCTTAACCTCTGCAAGTCTAGGGTCACACGTTATTCAGCCTTTTGGGTGATGAATTAGTTTCAATCCTAAAATCCACAGACGAAACTTTGCTACGCCCTGTCTACTCGCTATTTCCATGGTAAATGTTCAAGCAATCTACATTCCTTAGTTCCACCAGTTCAGACCATCACAGCTAAGCATCTTGCTAATCAATCGCTATTTTAATGGCAAATGTTCAAGCAATGTACATTCCTTAGTTCCACCAGTTCAGACCATCACAGCTAAGCATCTTGCTAATCAATCGCTATTTTAATGGCAAATGTTCAAGCAAGCTACATTCCTTAGTTCCACCAGTTCAGACCTTTACATCTAACCCTCTCTCTACTCTAACTCTATTTCCATGTCAAATGTTCAGACGTGGTATATTCGTTAGTTCCACCAGTTCAGACCTTTACAGCTAAAACAAGGCATAGCACTTACATCAGATCGACACATCCTCATTTTTTTTTTTAAATTCAGTCGGTAAAGAGAAATTTACGTTGAAACAGCTTCTTCTTCAGAACTGTTACGTCGAAGATGATTTTCTGATGAGCTCTTCTGCTTACAGGTCAATCGTTATGTTTCCTACATATCTTCATAATATGCTTTTCCTTTTTCCTTCTTGTACAAACTTACAATAAACTGCTTCAGTAAGGCTCTACTTCGAGAGTATTATAGACCATGAATTGGATGAAGAACAATATAAAACAAGGATCAAGTTCGCTACAAACTCGTTGATATGAACGAACATAATTATTCCCCGATTAAAACAATCTTAACAGATTCAAGTTGATGACAAACCGTTCTTTTTCCTACATTTTCTATATGAATAAATACAAAATTGAAGTTTAATTCTCTCACAGACTTTGGAGTTTAAAAGGGCCCACACTAATTTATAGTAATTTACACAGTTAAGGCTAAATATCTGTATTATATATTATCGGCTTTTAAACACTATCAGTTTGTATATTGATTTTTTAAAAAAGTATATTTCATTAATTAACTGTCCTTCATTACTGTTATTTTATTTAAGGATTGTTTTGATTTTCATATCAAAAATAGTTCTGTTTAGAAATAATGTCTTATATATTTCCGTATGGTGTTTGAAATTTTCATTTTACTTGGCCTTCAACAAGTTGGCATCTATTTGTAAAACTTTCCTTAACTATTTCTAGCAGCAGCTATTTGTTGTCTAAAAGAATATTTAGATAAAAAATATTTTAAAATGATACTGCTAAAATATCGTAATAAAAAAGATTTATTATAAATTATAATTAAATTCTATTATTTCGTTAAAAGCTAAATAATATCATCATAAATTATATTTCTAATAAAAATTGAGCGAGTACAAAACAGCAGAAATTGATGTAAGACTAGTATACATCTTACCGGATTTATTGAACGTTTACAGCAAGCCAATCATAAAAGAATCAGATGTCCAATCAGGATTTATTAATGATCGACTCAACCTTAATAACATTACATATGCAGATGTTACGAAATGGAGATGCCAAAATAAAGCAAATACTAAAATACAAATATTTGGTAAATGTCTTAACAGAGAAGAGAAAATGTGACGCCGAAGGCTCATTGGAATAGAAAAATGTCTTCTAAATGCTAAGCAAAGTATTAAGTAAGTGGAAAATTGCATTTGAAAAAAATATATTGTTCAACTTCTATGCCGTATCACTCCTTCCATAGGTCAGTGAATGCTGGACAATCTCCCCCCCCATAGATGAAGCAGAGATTTGAGATAACTATGTGGTTCTACAGAAGGATGATGGATCATGTGTGCAATGAAGTAGTTTTAATGAAAATGGAACGAAAACGGGCCACTATACTTAACATCAGAGAGGGACACCTGAAATTTCTAGGGTACCTAATGAGATGAGAATGTAGGAGAGACAGGAGAGAGGGAAATACCAGAGATATATATATATTATGTTGTATGCCGATTTACTTAGTTTCGCTTGATTTATTTTGCTTTACGGGATAGGAATCTTTAATGCCGACAAGATTTTTATTGGTGGTAGTATTTTTTATAAAAATTTATTGCTGGTAATATTTTTTCCTTGAAAAATGCATTGCTGGTAATATTTTCCCTTCTATAATGTATTGCTGGTAATAATCTTTCCTTCAAAAATATATTGCAGGTAGTAATTTTTCCTTAAAAAAATATATTGCTGGTAATATTTTTCCTTCAAATATGTATTGCTGGTAATAAATGATCCTTCAAAAATGTAGTGCTTGCAATATTTTTTCCTTCAAATATTTGTATTTCTCGAGCTATAATAGCAAGCGTATGCCAGAAATATTTGTATTTTTCGAGCTATAATAGCATGCGTATGCTAGAAATATTTGTATTTGTCGAGCTATAATAGCAAGCGTATGCCAGATATTATTTGTATTTCTCGAGCGATAATAGCAAGCGTATGCTAGAAATATTTGTATTTCTCGAGCTATAATTGCAAGCGTAGGCCAGAAATATTTGTAATTCTCGAGCTATAATAACAAGCGTATGACAGATATATTTGTATTTCTCGAGCTATAATAGCGACCGTTTGCCAGAAATATTTGTATTTCTCGAGCTATAATAGCAAGCGTTTGCCAGAAATATTTGTATTTCACGAGCTATAATATCTAGTTTATGCCAGAAATATTAATATTTCTCGAGCTATAATAGCAAGCGTATGTCAGAAATATTTGTATTTCTCGAGCTATAATAGCAAGCGTAGGCCAGAAATATTTGTAATTCTCGAGCTATAATAGCAAGCATATGTCAGAAATATTTGTATTTCCCGAGCTATAATAGCAAGCGTATGCTAGAAATATTTGTAATTCGGACATCGGCTGTATGTAGAAATTGTCGTTATCTACAGATGAACTTAAAATCTTGACTGTCGGTAACTGACAAGGCAACGAAAGAGAACGATACACCTAATTACACCTCTTTTCTAAGCTGATGATAATCAATCCTCCATTTTACTCTGTACCATATTCATCTCAATTTAGCTAATTATGAGGTAATAGAAACTGAACTCCAACTTCATGATCATGCTTAATTGACGTTATTTCTGGCTGTTTTTTCGTTTTCTACGCTTTTTTTAATTAAATATTTGGCTAAAAATATGTAATTTTTATTACGGCTAATATATACTTGTTGCTATTCTATTCTGTTCCGATAATTGTTTTATTTAAGCACGATTACCCTTTGAAGTACGGTTCAGGAATTGTTTTAATAATCATTACATTACATATCTTTTTCTCTAACAATAATTGAAAATTGTAATGAATGTAAGTATTTTAAAAATGAAATATTAATTAAAAACTGTTTTTTTTATATTGTAAGACGTTTTAATTTTTTTTATTTTTGACCCTTTTTTAAAATTCTTTTTTCGTCTAAAAATAAAAAGAGATTATCATTGATATGTATTATTGCGTCTAATGCCAGGGAAAGCGGTACAAGACGGCGCATTGTACTTGACTAATGAAATTGCGCTGCACAATCACAGAAGTCATGGCTCGAGAAGCGGCGAGGAAACATGGCGGTGTCGAAGCAACTCACTTTGATGGCA